AATCTTATCTCTTTGGTTAATTACTTAAACCCTTATTATATTTGATTAGATGTAAGCATGGCAATAAATATAATCTTATTTTACGTAAAATAGTTTGAATAATATTTGTCATTAAGCAAATCTTGCAAATTAATGCGCGTAAATTATTGTGTGACATTTTTGCACTAAAAAATAACATATTTGGGGTATTAAAAAACTTAATAGGCAATAAAAATTTTTCTTATATCAAACTTTTTACGACTTGAGTGCTGATCAGTCACAAGTATCGAGTAGTTTAAAATAATGAAAGAAAAAGGTGGGGTCAGTGATGTAAATTTTGAAATATTTGTCAAAATATTTGATTTTCAGGCAAAAAATGGTGTAAATTTGACCTTGACTTCTTTAATATACTTTCATTTTTTGTAAAATATTGTTGAGGGAAGGTGTAAAACTTAGTCTAAAAATATAAATTAAGACCTATATTAAATATTTTTAGCAATATCAAAACGGAAAATATTCTCCGAGTAAAAGTATGTGAGGCTAAATTTCCATTACATTAAATTTTATAAATGTGCAGATTTGCAGAATTTTCTGCTAAATATCCTTCCACCAAAAGAAATAGTCCCTCATAAATCTTGCTTCTTTGTAGATTTTTGAGTAGTTTTTTCATTGAATGTTCAAAAATTTACATTGTTGAATTTAAATATGTTATAAAAATTGAATTTAAATAAGTAGTTTTGAAGTAAAAGCTTCTGCGTGAACTTTTCTAAAAAGCTGACGAGTGACTTACCTTAAGTAGTATGAGCTCATTTAATATTTAAATTTTCTGTAAAATACATCTTGAGAAGGAATGGCAAATAAAACTTCGTATTACCCGCCCCTGAATATAGGTGGCGTATGCACCCTTTCCGTTCAACGCTCTTTTTATCTCCGCGATTAGAGATCACTTTCACTATCCGATGGTATAGACTTTTGTGAAAATTTACGTAATAAAATGACTGATTACGGCTTTTGGTGTCTTAAAGTCTCAGAAATGAATGTAATCGGCGATATGCATCATGATTTTAACGTAATTGGAGCTTGTGGAAAGGTCTGTTCCATATTTTGAGATTTTAATCATAATTTCCTCAGTCAAATAGCAATCGCTTTTAGCATAAAAATACAGGGTATAAAAATAGATCGGAAAGAAATACAAATGCATTTACAACATTTTAAACATTAGAAAATAAATTTTCCGTTATTGTTGTAGAAATATTTTTTTCGTCTTTCTTTATTTTTGAACGGGGAGAACAAGTAATGGTTGCATGCAAGTACACTATTCACATTACACACGTAGTAATCAGCTGGTAGTGTCAGGAACGCATATACAGTGTATTTTATTACTTTATACGTCCCTAGTAGTTAGTATATGAAATTAAGCAAGAAGAAAAAACGAAAAAGAAATTAATTTGGTTTAGATTTTCTGAACTAAAGCATATAATAGAATCAAAAAACTTACTAACAATCATGTTGAGAGAAAGAGAGAGAGAGAGAAGTGAAGGTGCTAAGATTTTTCAGACTTAGTGTTACTTCTGAGGATATTGACTAGGACATCTTAAGTCCCTTTATCTAATGCAAGATTCCTCTGATTCTAACAACCAACCTAATCAAGATTACCCTTTATCAATTAGAATTTTTAACATGACTAGGAAATAATTATTTAAATATATTCCTTAATTGAAACATTCTTACCCAACTGATACTCAGTGTCAATCTTCCGATTTTCTTTTTTTTTTTTTTTTTTTTTTTGTTTCTTTGGTGTGGGGAAAACAAACAACATACAGCTAAGTAATTCCTACTTCATATTTATACACATATAAAAAAATATTACTTCAGAAATTCTATATCAGAGTGTGTTTTACATGTATGTGCCCACATCTGACAATCTGATTAAAATCAAAATTAATCTTTGTTACAGAACAAAATTCTAATTATAATGGTCGCTGTACATATAGAAGATTGTACAGCGACCATCAGAAATTCAATGTGTATCAGAGGTCTGATTTTAATCAGATTGATGTTCCCAAGAAGATGCATTTATGTATATGATCATCCTTTATATTTTATTAGTAGCCAAACACAAAAGTAATTTTCGAAACCTTTACTGTATATGACTTAGATTTTCATCCTGCAAAGGTAAATCAGAAATCACCCATTCAGGGCCTAATAAAAACTTTTCAAATACGTAATTATTGATATCAGTGATATTGTATATAATTGTTTTATTATATACTCTGCTTTTATTGATATTTCAGTCAATTCTTAAAACATAAAAATTAACGTATTTAAATTCAATTTAATTATCAATTTTCATATCATAAATTGATTACTATTATTAATCATAATGCCCTGATATATCCAAACTAAGAATGACAGGGTTTTGATTTTGAAAGGTCTGTTGGGGGTCAAAATAATTAAAGCCCAAATGCCATTTCTAATGCCAAAAAGCTGGGGGTATTTTCAATTTTTTTCTTTATAAGAAAAGTCCAAAGTCCAAAAAAAAGTCAAATTCTCAGACCCCAAGATACAATGTTGTCCCAAAATTTTTAAGTAAACTACTTAATAATGGTTTAAATTGAGTGTAATCCTTGAAAACTGTCACAGGTATTTAAATAACCTACCTTAAAATACAATCCCAGGGTGTACTTCTTTTTATGTTAAATCTTCTCCAATTCCAATTTCGAAGCATAAACTGGACAGATCAGGCTCTTGGTGTCAAGGCCTTATAGAGCCTGAATTAAACTGGTCCTATAAAAATGGTCAAGAAAATTATAAATTCATGTATGAAACCAGAAGTCTTTGTCAAGACTGTAGCTCTACTGGTTTATATTTATAACAAAGGAAGAGAAAAGTTGCAGTTAGGAATTGAATCTTTACAACAGCCATATAAAATAAATTAATTATCCTTGATAAAGTCTTCCATGGCAATATTGCAATAAGACTACAGCTGTAAAATAACTTTTAATAAAATTTTAAAAGAATTTTCAATTATAGTTACCATGGCAACACCGTTCATCAAAATAGATTAAAAAAATAATAAAGACAATAATGTATGATAGTGTAGTCTATCTGCATGACACAATATATCATAATCAAACTAAAAATATATTTGGGATAGCATTTTTAAATCATTTCACAGAAATTTCTATTTTCTGTAACCATGTAAACAGTAACCATGGCAACACCGTTCATCAAAATCAAAATCCGATGCATAGAATTATCTATCTTAGTATAGTCTACTTGTGTGTCAAGTTATATTGAAATCCGACCAAAACTGTAGGAGGAGTAGCATTTTGAAAGCATTTCACAGACATGTCTATTTTTAATAACCACGGCAACACCGTTCATCGAAATCAAAAACCGATGCACAGAATTATGTATCTTAGTATAGTCTCCTTGTGTGCCAAGTTATATTGAAATAGGACAAAAACTGTAGGAGAAGTAGCGTTTTGAAAGAATTTCACAGAAATTTCTATTTTTAGTAATAGTAGTAACCACAGCAACATCGTTCATCGAAATCATAAACCGATGCACAGAATTATGTATCTTAGTATAGTCTACTTGTGTGCCAAGTTATATTGAAATCAGACCAAAACTGTAGGACGAGTAGCATTTTTGAAAAATTGTTTACAGACAGACGGACGCCGGACGCATTACTATCGCATAAACTCTTCTGGTCTCTGACCAGTAGAGCTAAAAAAAATCCCAGTTGCCGTGTAAATTAATATCTTGTAAATGGATGTCAAACAAAATGCTGTATAAATTTAAAAAATAAACAGTGGCACATCCAGGAATTTCGCAACGGGGGCGTAGTTGAAGGCGGGGGGGGGGGGGGGGGGGACGGTCTGGTGGCTGTACTGAAGCCCCCAGTGGCTCTAGGGCGAGGTCAAAACAAAATGACTATGTAAATGCAAACTTTTGCACTTTTGAAAAGTTGAACGATTTCATTGCATATTTTGAATCTGTCAAGTAATTATGTAGCCAAGTATTTTCATGAGAATAAAACAGACGCATATACGTAATATGACTGCAACCCCAAGAGGGGAATAATAAATTATTCTGCTCTTGGGACAGTCGGGTTTGAGGGAGCCTCCACCTGAGAACTTTACCTGATGATCATAAAATAAGACAAAGATAATAATGATGAAAATATGATGTTTATTTATTTACAATGAAATGACATGAACTGGTTTTTCCAGTTCTACAAAACAATGAAAAATAAATATGAAAAATGAGATGAATTAATGAAAATGACCCTATAAATGATCTTGAAATTCAATAGTTATTGTAACTTTATTTATTTAGAAGTTTTAGCCTTAGGTAATTTTGATAGTGAGAATTTAGATCGGGATTGAAATTCAAATATTTAGTAGACCACAATGGCGCCGAATGTGAATGTTAGAATTGGGAACTTAACTTTTGGGATAATTTTGAATTGTGCTCAAATAACTAAGTACCGAAAACGGTACAAAGTGCTCAGAATACGGGAAGGTTAGCTTACCCGTAGTAAGGCTGCAGAGCAGTGGACGCTAGGAGAGCAGTCCGCCGATCTACTCGAAACACGGCCTTATATATGGTGAGTACACAAAAGAAATGGTCACCCAACCGTGAACTGTTAAAACCCATATAACTGGACAAGATAATAGACTTTAAACCTATCAGATTACGTTTAAGATATAGAGTTATGGAATTAAGGGCAATATGGACGTCTATAGTAAACAAAGAATTTAAGATATCTAAAATCGTGAGGTAAGTAAACAATTGACTTTAACAAAAATACTGTCCCTAGACTAAGTGTCAAATTAGTTATATATTCTTAGACTTAATAATAACAATGGGAGGGCTTATTTAATGCAGAAAATGATTAATAGGGATAAAATAATGAGTTTTATCACATTCCTCCCCCCTTATAGAGTAAAAGAAACATTTATAAAAAGTGGTCAATTTAGTATATTTAGAACACATATCCATTGGTTATCTCACCTCTTGAAAATTGGGACTGTCAGTCCTAGCTTAAGTACACCATTGGCTGTTACATTTCACACCCCCGTCAATCAGACCCACATCTGTGAAACAGAAAAGATGTCTATAAATTGAAGCATTTTTCTATTTTTCTTTCAAACTTTTGAAATAAAATGATTAATCTAGCATATGTTTTGCTTGTTTTTCTTATTATCTCTAAAAAATTCTCAAGATAGGTCATATTTATCATTCAGGGTAGCAGGTACCCGTTATTAATGAAAAATGAAGAAAATCAGCAGTTTTTTGTATGAAAATACTGAGTTATGGAAAGAGGGAAAACTAATGTAGATAAAATAATCAATGGAAAGAAAGAGAATTATATCTAGTTCAAATGTACATAAGATTACTTAGAATTTTATCAGCAACGGGTTGCTGGCATCAGAGAATCAAATACATCCCCACTGAAAATTTTGTAATTTTGAAGGGGGTGACCTACATTTTAGCCAATTTCCATGAACATTTTATGTAATTGGTGTTAAATATGTATATTCTCATAAAAGGCAAACATATTTATTTGCATATCATTTATTATTATTGACATAATTAATAAATTGAATAAATGCCAAGGGCAGATAAATCATATTGTCAGACTGAATACAGTGCTCAATTGTAAGCAAAGTGCTTAAATAACTGCAGTTCTGAAGAAATTTATTTTCTAATAATCTATAAAAAGTTCTAAATAAATTAATTATTAAGAGATTAACTAGATTTTCTAAGAAAACCATACCTTGGAACTCTTAATGGAAGCAAAGGGATCATCCTCAGAGTGTCCATGTGTTGTTCATTGTAAGGGGGGAGGGTTCATTAATCTCCTCCATCTTAAGAATGCATTGCTGAAATACATTTTATTTTATTAAAACATACTGATAAATGCATGTAGTAGCTTATATTGTATTTTTTTTATTATTTACATCATCTTTTGAATTTTTTTATAAGCATTTGTGCTGAAATAGCTTTAAACTAATCATGTTTAAATACAATTTACTCAGATAATTATTTCAAAAGTATCTAAGAAATTGAAAAAAATAACTGCAGATAAGAATGACTCTTAGTTGTTCAAATAAACCACATTTTAAAAAAAATCCTTCATTTTCAAGCATCATTAGAGTACAAAATTACCCCCCCCCCCTCTTTTCTGCAGAAATCAAGATTAGATATGGCAAGGAGGAGGGATATTCAGACACTTTTTTCAATAATAATTTTGCAAATTTATTGTTTTTTCAATGTATTTTCTGCTAAAATATATTTTACAGTATTTTAATTTAAATTTCCTACTAGTAATCTCTAAGTTTCATCAAAAGTATAACTTTTATATCAAGCCAGCACTGATTACATGACTAAAATTGGCTCTGCTGCTGGATTAGGCCCCTTGTTTAAAATCAAAGTAACCTAATTATTTAACAGAAGTCTAATTTTGTTATAAGTTATACAATCAACTCTGATTAACACAAATTTGAAAGAGGATTAGTCAGTCTATTCCAATGTTTGCACTCATAAAATACATGAATTTAAATGAATTTCTCAAACTGCGAGGGGGATATTCATATGTTTTGTGAATTGATGATGCCCATAAATATCAATATTGTATCATTTACAATATTCACAGTAAATTTCAGCATAAATTTTAATTTAAAACTATTTACATCTACATTTATTGAAAAAATGAGAGCTAGAGCAAAAATTTTGGCATTTTTTCACCATGTGCAGTCCCCATTGTGAGCCCCAATTTACCCAAACCCTCTAATTTTTAAACAAATAGTAAAAACTAACTAAAATATGATCTCATTGCCAAAAAAATAGGAACTGATTGATTATTTGGCTGTAATCGATGTTTATCCATGAAATAATACCTATTCTATAGGACAAACACCACCAAATGTTTTCCCATAGACTTCCATACAAACTTGAGCCCCTGTCACTCATACACATATTGAATTTTGGGCAAATGACCTTTTTGCCGTGAAAGTTCGAGATATTGGAAAACAAAACATGCCAGAAAAAATATACCGTCACGCGGCACTTTTACTTTCAATTTCCATTTGTTTACAACAAGGTGCGTTTGACACCAAATGAAAATCTCTAACCAAAGGGCACCCCTCCCTTCAAATTTTTACCTGTAACTCCTATATATCTCAAAGAATCCCAAGTCTTGCTATGAGATTTTTATCAACTTTATTTCACTAGTCAGATACATAACAAGTCTTTTCTCTTATTGACCAATCACGCGCCAGCTAGCATTTTCTCCTCCGCACAACTGTGGGTGTCCAAAATGTCTGCGCCCATGTATTTGTTTATGTAGGGGTTTTTCCTTAAGACAAAATTACTTTTATTTTGTCACATGAATCAACAAAGCATAAAACTCATTCAAAACAAAAGTAATCACAATATCAATGATAATAATAATAATGATATACAAAACTATCAATTAACAAATAATTATTAGAGAAAGGTTTTAACAAATAATGTCCATCTTTTGTTTTTAATTCTAACATGTCTATTCACAGTTCTTCCTCTTTAAAGAGAGGCGTAGCCGGGTGGCATTTCCTTCCTCGTCGAATGACATCACCTCATCCCTATTTACTGTGGCATTTGCTCGAATCAGCCTCTCTGGATCAAACAAGGGATTCGTCTCGCTCTCCTCTCGTATAGCTAACCTCTTCCTCCTTTCCTCCTCTCTCTGACACTCTCTTTCCTCCCCACTTGTCATCTTTCTCGGTAGAAGTGTCTCCCGTGGATCCATGAACTTCCTGTTATGAACATCAATTTCCACTAGTAGGCCGTCAAGGTTTTCTGTACGATGCATCGCAGTAACATGTCTCCTTGCTTGGGACTTTATTTTAAAACATCTCTTACATGACTTTCATTTGAATAATCTTCTCGTCTCTTTGTGGATGTCTATCCAGTGGTCTAGAAGCTGGCACGGACAGGTCATTCCCGAAAACGGGAATGGCGGTCTCTGACCCTCCTCAACTCTTTCAACTCTTCCTGATATTCACAGAAGTCAAACTGGAACTCCATGGCAAACTAAAATTCCAATAGTATTGCATTACCTCAGAACCTTTAACAATTTTATTAATTACGTGTTGTTTTTATTCATTATAGAAACAAATATATATTTTCATTTAAAATTTATTCTTGATTTTATCTTGACTACTGATTTATATATTAAATATCTATAAGATTTCAAAAAAAATCATTGGCATCATTTATACAAATGAGTTAATATTAGTAGTTATAAGTAATAACAGTGGTGCATGTCTGCATGATCCTAGTATGCATGTTAATAAGTAAACGTAATTATTATCTCAATATATATACACCATCTACAAGTCAATGGGGCAGCAATTTATAGATTCGTGATTTCACGAAATCTTAATTTTTTTTTCTTTTTTAATAGTCATATTTATAAGTCTAAAATATCTCGTGGTTTCACGATTCTTCCTGTCCTTGTAATAACTGGTGATGCTGCCTTGTCAACCACAGGATCCTCTGCCTCTGTCTGCTGCTCACTACTCTGGTCGGTTTCCTCAATGTCTGGGGTCTGTGTTCTCTGGATTATTACTTCAGTATCGAGATCAACACCTTGATATGGCTTAAGGTGATCTACATGTGCATTAAAAGACCTTACCCCCTCTTTAGAAAGTGTGTAAGTAACATCATTTATTTTTTCAGTTATTGTGAAGGGACCTGTCCAACCCAAGCCTAGTTTTTGTGACGCTGTTGGTGGATACCAACGCCATACTCTTGACCCAACTTGATACTCCCTAACATTTAATTTTTTGTCATAATTTTCTTTTTGTCTCTGTGCCGAAATACCTAAATTTTCAAATGCAAACTGAAAAGCATTTCCCACAGCATATTTCAACTACTCTATGTACTGCACAGGACATTGATGTTCAATGTCGTTAGGAGGATTTCCAACCATTAAGTCAATGGGACACTTAATCTCTCTTCCTAACATTAATAAGTTTGGGGTACAATGAGTACTTTTGTGTTCTGTTGCCCTGTAAGCCATGAGAAGGTAGGGAAGATGATTATACCAGTTCTTTTGATTTTCTTGAGCAAAGATCGAAAGCATTAGAATTAATGTTCTATTGAAGCGTTCCACTAATCCGTCGGATTGTTGACGATACGGGTTTGTTCTAGTTTTTACAACACCAAATTTTTCACAGACTAATTGGAATAGTTTGACTGAAATTCTGGACCTTGATCTGTATGTATTTGTTCTGGACAACCTAACTTGGTGAAAACTTCTGTGACTAACTTATCCGCAACTGTTTGGGCTGTATGATTTGGGACAGCGAATGCCTCTTTCCACTTTGTAAAATAATCACCGAATACGATGATATATTCATTATTCTTTTTAGTCACAGGCAAAGGACCAAGTATGTCGATGGCGACACATTGTAATGGGGCGGAGGCAGTGAACTGTTGGAGAGGACTTTTACCCAACCCAGGACCAGGTTTACACCTTGCACAAAGATCACATTGTGCACACCATCTTTTAATACATTTGTCTACACCAGGCCAGTAAAATCTTCGTTTAATTAAATCTGTGGTTCGTTCTATACCAAAATGACCTGAAATTCTTTGTTTGTGTAATTGATCAAAGATTTTGCTGTGTAGAATTTGAGGCACCACTAGCTGTTTTTGTTCACCACTAAATCTGACTGGATTTTTAGTTTTCTGTAGAGCATCCCTTCATCAATAACAAGAGAATCCCACTGACACCAAAGAACTCTAGAATCTGGATGAAAACCTTGAATTTGGGTCTTTCATGGTTTTTCTGATGAATTTTTCAATAACTCCATAATAGGCTGAATGACAACGTCACCCTCTTGAAAACTCTAAAGTTCTTCCCTAGACCAAGAGTCAAGCCAATTAGGAACAATTGGACTACTTTCCTCATCAACCTGAACAGGACCAACAACTGAAACCTCATGAAAATCATCAGACTGATTACAGTCTGGCCCCTGATGAAAAACCTCATTCAAATCCCATGGTAACTCTTCAACCTCTGACTCTTTAGACTCAAAACTCTCCTTTGTACAATCAGGACATTGATCATTTTTACAATTTCTGTGTGATACCCTTGACAAACCCATCTGCATTCAAATGCTTATTCCTAGGGCGATATTGCATTTCAAAGTCACATGTATCAATGATGCTGAGCCACCTAGCCATCATACCCTCTGGTTCTTTGAACTTTTTTAACCACAGCAAAGGGGCATGGTCAGATCTCAAAAGAAAATTTCTACCTAGCAAATAATGTCTGAAATGCCTTAAAAAGGTTACAACTGCCAAAAGTTCTCTTTTGGTTGTACAGTATTGTCTCTGGGCTTTGTTTAATGTACGACTCGCGTAAGCTATAACTTTTTCTTCACCGTCTTGTATCTGGGACAGAACAGCACCTATTCCAAAACCACTGGCATCTGTATCTAAGATAAATTTTCCTTCTTGTTTTGGATATGCCAAAATGGGGGCTTTTAACATTGCATTTTTGAGAGTTTCAAAAGATTGTTCACAATTTTCATCCAAGACAAAAGGAACCTTTTTACGTGTCAAATTTACTAAGGCATGAGCAATTTCTGAAAAATCTTGAATAAACCGTCTATAGTAACCTACAAAACCTAGAAAACTTCTGACTTCTTTGCGGGTACTAGGTAACTGGCAAATCTTTTACACTTTGAGTTTTGGAAGGATCTGTTTTGACACCCCGTGAAGAGACAATATGGCCTAAATAGGGAACTTCTTTTTGAAACAATTTGCATTTGGAAGGTTTTAAGGTCAAATTTGCCTCCCTAAATCTTGTGAACACTTCTCGC